TTTCGTCATATTTTTTTAATCGCCTCTCTTTTTCCCTTGCATTGTTTCCCCCTACTATTTTCTATATTCTCCCCCCCATTACAAAAATTCTTTTTTTTTTTCCAACAAAAAAAAATTTCTCCTTTTTTTTTTTTTTTTTTAGCTTCGCTGGCCTGCCGCCTACGTTCTATTTTTCTCTGTCTGGGGTCTTGCTCTATATTCCAAATTTGTGGTCTAAGCTTAATACTTTAGACAACACGGATACAGAAACAATTTCCACTTTCCGTTCTCGTCTTTATTGACGCTTTAGTTGTCTCTGCATTACAAGACGCGAGTGGCTGTGCGATTGCCCGCCAAAATATCCTCGAGTTGCCATACCTGTTGATTGAGTTATTTTAGATTGGTATGCCTGTGGTACGGACGGACAGGCGCTCGGTCCGTGTACGGGCGAAGGGGGTCGACCATACAAAATTGAAGATCAATATATTTTCTTCAAAGTTTTGTGAAAAGTAGACCAATCGAGACAAAGAGACTCGAAAGAGTCCCATTTCAAAAGTTTAACTCAAAAAAGCCAAGAAGAATTAACAGCCATTTTGGAATGTCGGGCACAGCAGGGTGAGAATCAACTCTGCTACAGCTCACCTTGAAGATTCCCGCATCAATACAATCACATGGAGCAAACGCGCCGAGGAAGAAATTTAAATATCTACCTTAATCTAAACTAAAAAATAATAAGATTAAAAGTGCTTATTCAATCGAAAGCTATCCAATACTTCTGTTACAACGTTTGTATTTCGTACAATGTAAATTGTTCAGTGTTCCTCGTTTCTTCTTTCTTTTTTTGTGTGTGTTTTAAAGTACGTCTGGCTGTGACAGACCTAAAATTATTAAAACTGCAACATCGTAGTAAAAATATTCCCATCATGTTTACTCACTAGTTTAGCCTGTCCGCTGGAGAGCTGCCGTGTAGTTCTTCTTTAAGCTTTTTTAAGTTACCGTGGACATTTTCACTTTGTGGATCAAGCTTTAGAGCCTTTCTACAGTAGTGTTCACCGGCTTGCTCATGTGTCCCCCATCTGTGAAATAACACCCCTGTCAACTAAACAAAAACGATAAAGTTGGAGTTAATTTGAGACGCGGCGTTTATGCACAGATACAAGTTACTTAAAAACAACAGTAACTAATAACCGAACGGTACAACAACAATTATTGTAAACGCCTTGTAAAGCATAATAAACTTTGCCCAGGAAAGCCTAACATGCTCAGTAGCGTTTACTTCAATGGTTACACTATATAACGATGCGAGTCAGGCCTCCGTTTTGGGGGGAAGCGGTGAAATTCGGCGGGTAGGTAAAAGTAAAAGAAACGGTAGGACCGCATTATCACAGTTTAAATCAACCTATACATACAAGAGGATATTACACTGTGGCGCGAAGATATGAATTTTATTTTTGAGTGGCAAAATATTGTTTTTGCCACGAGAAAATAGAATTCATATCTTCAAGCCGCCGTGTGATGTTCTTTTTAGATATAGACAAAAAGACATCGATGAAATATAGATACTCGTGCCAAAGGACACGCGGAATGAAGTCTTACAGACGATCCACTCAGGCCACTAGAGCGAACCCAAGTGCCTTCTCCTGGCTAGGGAGTATGTATATTCTGGCCAGGTATCTCCAATGGTACCAGACAAATGGTGAAAGACTGTCACTGATGCTGTCCCTGACTTATGTAGTTTTTAAGAATTTTACGAGTGGTATATTTTCGAGTAATATCATAAAGCATAATAAACAATACAACAGGAGCATGGTAATGCTCAGAAACTTCATTGGAATGGTCACATTTTAGGATTTGACTCACAGACTCAGAAGTTAGTATTAGAACCACAGCAAAGAACTTCTCAGTAGCTCTTATTCGATGGTCACGTTACATTGTAGGACTTCTTCCTCAGTTTGAACCACTTTTACAGAAAAAAATAAAAAAAATAAAAAAAATAACAGAAATAGTAACAACTCGAGGAATTCTTACCAAAAAGTTACAACAATTCGGGACCGTTCATTTTTTATGGGGTGGGGGGGGGGGGGGGGGGGGGG